AGCGTGTTGTGTGAAAGACTGAAGCCCTGCGTCAACGAACTTATTGCGCCTTATAAGTGAGGCTTCAGATCTGCCAAATCTACAATAGATCTCGTATTAGCAATACGCCAAAACTTGGAAAAGACCCGTGAGAATAGGATCGGCACATGCTTTCTATTTGTCGATTTCAAAGCCGCTTTCAACAGTACGAAAAGAGATGTCTTTATTTCGTGATGTCTCAATTTCGTACCCCCGCGAAACTAATAAGGCTGTGTAAAATGATGTTGAGCAATATCAGGTCCGTCAGAAATGAGGATGACCTCTCCGAGCCGTTTGATACCAGACGAGGTTTTAGAAAAGGTGACTCCCTTTCGTGTCATTTATTTAATCTTATGTTGGAGAATATATTAAGTCACAGAACTGAAGCGCTCAGGCACAAAACTTTACAAGAGCGTACAATTGATGGCGTATGCCGACGACATCGACATTATTGTTACAAATAAGGGCCACGTCTGTTACAAATAAGGGTTTCGTCTGTTCTAAAAGTATTCAACGCGGGTCGCAATGGTGGAAGAGGAAGGCCCAGTGGATAAGGACTTGGCTTCACTTGGCAAAAAAAAAAACTTGAAAAACTTTGTGTGTCCCAGATGCATTTCCTCAAGCGAGGCATGGTCTAGACCAGGGTTGTTGCGAATATTATTCCAAAATAAAAGTCCTTCCGGATAATAAACAAACGGCCTGTCCAAATTAAATAAATTTGGTATTATATGAAAGAGGACTGAATTAGCTCTTAAACAGAAATAACGAAATACCTCTATTTATATTTTTATACCCTTCATGAGCATGAAATGGTATTATAACTTTGATCCGATGTTTGTAAGTACCAGAATAAGAAGAGATAGACCCATTAAAATGTATACTTAAATGATCAGAAGGGCGAGCTGAGTCGATTTAGCCATGTCCGTCTGTCTGTCTGTCTGTCTGTCCGTCTGTTTGTATGCAATCTAGTCTCTCAGTTTTTGAGATATCCGGATCCAATTTGGCAGGTGGGTGTATTTTTATAATGTATTAATCATTTGTCGGAACCGGAGGAATTGGACCACTATAACATATAGCTCCCATACAACTGATTGTTCAGATATGCGATTTTTCGTTATAAATCCTCCATTTATGCAGCTAGGAACATGAAATTTTTCAATACTTCCACCCATTATCAGCAGAATATTTACAGTGAAAGTTACAAAGATTGGGTGACTATAACCTATAGCTCCCATACAACTGATTGTTCAGATATAAAATTTTTCGTTATAACTCCCCTTACGTAGCTAGGAACATGAATTACACTGTTGTTACTCACTATGGAAAGAATACTTACAGTGAAAATGGCGAAGATTGGGTCGCTATAACCTATAGCCTCCATACAACTGATTGTTCAGATATGAGATTTTTTTTTATAACTCCTCCGTTTATGCAGCTAGAAACATTAAATTTAGCAATACTTCCACTCATTATCAACAGAAAATTATGAAAGTTAAAAAGATCAGGTCACGAGAACCTATAACTCCCATACAACTCATTGTTCAGATATAAGATTTTTCGTTACAACTCCTCCATTTTGCACGCTTATCACTCATCATCGAAAGAATACTTTCAGTAAAAATTGCGAAGATCGGGTAGTTATAACTTATAGCCCCAATGCAACTGATTGTTTAGATATGAGATTTTTTGCCATAACTTCTTCATTTAAGCAGCTAGGAACATGAAAATGCCCACCGTTTTCACTCATTATTAACAAAATGCTTACAGTGAAAATAACAAAGATCGGGTCACTATAATATATATCTCCGATACAACTGATTGCTCAGTTATGAGAATTTTCGTTATAACTCCTCCATTTATGCAGCTAGGAAAATTAAATTTTGCCATACTTGCATCCTTTAACAACATAATACTTAAAGTGAAAATAACTAATAATTTCATAAAAATTACATAAATATAGCTCCCATAGAACTGATGGCGATTTTTTGTTATAACTCCTCCATCTATGCAGCTGGGAACATGAAATTTCGCAATATTTCCACCCATTATCAAAAAAATACTTACAGTGAAAATGGCGAAGATCGGATCGGTATAACCTATTGTCTCCATACAACTGATTGTTCAGATATGAGATTCTTTGTTATAACTTCTCCATAAATGCAGCTAGACACATGAAATTTCGCATTATTTTCACTCCTTATCAACAGAAAGTTTACAGTAAAATTAACAAAGTTCGGGTCACTATAACCTATTTATTGCTCGCCATACAACTGATTGTTCAGATATGGGGTTTTACTGTAAAACTCCTTTATTTGGACAGATAAAACCGATAAATTTCGTAAGATATTTTATAAATAATAATACAAAGTCTACTGAGAAAATCGTCAAAATCTATGCTGTATAAGCTTTATCTCTTGTACCACTGATTGTTCAGTTACCAGTTTTTGCGATCTGTTAAATTAAAATTTTCAGACGTTCATGAAAGGTATGAAGCCTTCGGCATAGCCGACAGCGCTGCTCTTACTTGTTTTTTTATAATTTAATACTAAAGTAATGCATATACCTGACACAAAGTTTCTTCTATGGTAATTAATTAACATTTTTTGTTGAAATATTTTTCAATATGAGGCTTTCCTCGTTTAGACATTTCAGTTTCAAAGCTATTTAGGTCCTCCTTCATTTGATACCAAACTTGTTTAATTTGGATAAGCGGTTTGTCTATTATCCGGAAAAGACTTTTATTTCGGAATAATATTCGCAACAACCCTGGTCTAGACCCATCAGCAATGTATGTCTTCTCTGGCAAAAGATTCAGTTGGTTATTTTTATGTAACTTGCGGACTTTAGCATTCACAAATTGGACAAATAAGAACATTGTACTTTGTCTTAAAACAAAACCATTTGTGTAAATCCTTCTTGGGTACTCACACTGTTAAATATATTGATAAATTTTGCCATTTCTCAAGTCCGGCTTCTATATTTTTTATACCCTAGCGCCAACTTTGTTGGCATAACTCGTTGTTTGTAACAGCCTAAAGGAATCGAGATAGATATAGACAAATGTATACATAAATGATCAGAATAAAAAGAGAAATCGATTAAGCCATGTCTGTCTGTCCGTCCGTCCGTCTGTCCGTGTACACGATAACTCGAGCAAAAATTTAAATATCTCAACGAAATTTGGTATATAGGTTGCCTTTTATCCAAGGTAGGTTGCTATTGAAAATGGTCGAAATCGGACTGTAACCACGCCCCTTCTCATATAACAGTATTTTCGAAAAATGCAAAAACTATGATATTTCAGTAAATAGTGGATCCAAATTGTTCAAAATCAGTATTTGAAGTAGAACTTTGGAGCAAAATAATATTATTTTGAAATTTTTGGAAAAGGGGCGGGACCCCGCCCACTAATGGTGAAATACTGTATCGTAGTAGCCGCTTCACCAATCTTTACCAAACTCGGTACAACCCTTGCTTAGAGTCCAGCTAAGAAATCTGTTGAAAATCTTTGAAATCGGGCAATATCTACCTCCCATATAACGGTATTTTACTGAAGCTAATTGACTCAAAATCGATTATTGCAATGACCACCGAGCATAAAATTAGATTATTATTAATTTTTGGATTTTGGGCGTGGCACTGCCCACTTATGAACAAAAATGTCTATCTCGGTAACCGATTTATCAATTTCTACCAAGCTCGGTGCATTTAATAACCTTGGTACGAAAAGCAATTTGTTAAAAATTATTCAAATCGGAATAAAATTGCACCGGCTTCCCGTATAACGGTAATTTTTGGATATACGAAAACTCCGATATATCAATAACTAAGGACGTTCATTTACTCCAAGTTACTACTTACAACAATAAATAAGACTGTTATAGACTTTTAGGTAGCTTAAGGAGAGTTGAAACGACGATAGTTGATACCTGGGCCGGGTATATACAATTCGGCTTCGCCCGAACTTATACTTCTTTACTTATTTATCTTTACTTTTGCTTTCATTTTGACTAATTCTGATAACAGGTGATTGGTTTATTTTAAACTCAGCACACATCACTTTAACGGAAACACCACTTTTTTAGTTTTTCCAGAATGCTTGTAAGTCAAAGAAAGGCAAAAAATTCAAATTTTGTGTGTGTGGCATGCACAACCAAAGATGGTGTTGAGGTTCAATTGTTTTGAAGTTGCTTTTACAAAGGTTACAATGTTTTGCTTTAGAGACTTGCATTAATCAAGGAATTGCACGTATTGAGGGTTGCGGTTACCGTGTACGCACTGTAAATATTTTTCACCGGATAAACAGAAATTAAGTTACGAACAGTTATAACGCTCAACCTATGAAAAGCGGGTTTTTAGAATTTAAGTCCAGATTTGAGGGGCATTCAAAATTCTAAGAATGCTTCAATAGATCTATAACTTTAGCAGTCACACAGTGTTATCATCCCGACGAAATCATTGACGGTGGTACCGGGAGGGGAACGGTACATGACGGTAGGAAGTTTAGTTTGGGTTAAAGTCTCACACTGACGGGGTTAGGCTTTCGATGCCCCCCGTGGTTACAATAATTTTAAACTATAAAGAACAATTTTTTAGTAAGTAAGTTATTGGTTTAATTTTTTTTTTTTTGTATAGGAGGACCCCTCCCCTGAATTTCGTTCTGGCTACGCCCATGGTTGAGCATAAATTAAGTTTATTTAAAAAAACGTTTATTTTTTTTTACTTTTTACAAAACTTCTTTTACTGAACTCGGGATCAATTCGTGTGCCGAGCAACACGCAAATTATGCTTAATAGCATAGACTGATTTCGCTGTTAATAAACTAAGCCGTTGTGTATCCTAAAGATATTTCATCGTAAGCCACCTGTTTAAAACTTTTATATTTAATAGCAATTAAGCTGGACTCTTGATTAGTTTAATTTCAAAGTTAAAATCAATCATCTTAAAAAGTTTTCTTTTTTCTTTTTTTCTACTTAATTTAGCATTTGATAACATTAAGAAAATTTTGGCTTTATAAGAGGGAAGATAAGCTCGTCAATAGTTTTAAGTGTGAAACAATTTTTGACTAAAAAGTTTATTAATGGTCCATCGGTACCTACATAAATGTATACATACATATGAACCTACATTTAGTGCTTATTGAAACAGCAAACTATGTAAATTGTATTGGTAAGGTAGATATTTATAAATGTTTCACCACAATCTGTGCGGCAATAAAAGTTATTTTTTAGAGTGTACCGAAGGAAAATGAATGTATGTATTTTGTAAAAAAAAATAACTCATAGCCAAGTAACCTAGACAAACACTTTTGTTAATATAAACTAGTATAAAATAAAAGATTATAGAATGTATCACTATAAATCCGGAGAGTTAAGTAATTTTACGAATATTGATAACATTATTTGAATGAGAAGAAGTTTGGAAACAAATACTAAACGCTTATTAAGATCGCAATCAATATCCAATTGCAAATGTTTATCAATGAATGAATATGTTTTTCTATAAAAACTTAAGTGCCTAAACTAATTCGTGCAGAACGCAGTTTTTATAAAACTAAAATTTTACTAATATTTGTCAGTTTATTGTAAAATAGATAGGGTATCATAAATCTCAAAAAATTCCACAAAGCCACAGAACTAATATTCGAATACATGCTGGTACATACATACATACATATGTACATATTTGTGCATTTTAACCATTTGTGTGTATAAACAATTAGTTATGTATAAAAAAAGTATAGTATACATCATAAACAAGTATATGTATAGTAAAGTGTACAAATATGTATGCTTGTTCTTTCCTGTTTTCTTCAATACCGGGTATTTGAAAAATAAAGCATAAACCAGACATTTTTTAACTAAATAATAACTTAAAGTGTTTATTGAGTTAACAAACATATACACATATATACATACATCATACCTGAGTATTTAAATATATGTATGTATAATCATACTTGTATTACACAAACCGTACTTGTAAAATAATTCTTATGGTCTTTTAAAAGGACTTGATCTCTAAAACTAATTTTTTAATACTCAGTCAAATGAGACAAATGAGTTAATAAAATACTACAGAGTTTCACAAATAATTATTATGATTACAAATGATAGTATGTACAAGCACTTACATAGTCTAATAATATGAAACTTACTGATGTATGTAAGTACACGTAACACAGTTGAAAGGATCAAATTTTAGAAAATATTTCGTTCCACTTATTTTAGGACATTCTAATCACTTTTTTACAAATAAACCCATAGAACAAATATAAAATATACTTGTTTATACTTTCCGTCTATGAATCATACATACATATGCATGTAATTTCCTTAAGTATATATTGTCGCTTAATAAAATATGATAAACATTTCTTATTCTCAAAGTCGCGTTTTTTAAAAACTGTTTGTTGACAATTTATGATAAGGTTTCTACCGCCCGATAATGATGCCGTGACAAGATGGAACTCGGTAACATAGTTAAGAAAGCGCCTTATTTTTTTGTAAGCGAGGTAGGTAATATAAAACTGCAAAACAGTGCAGCAAAAAACCAACAATCAATATGCTTTACTTTTTTCATTATATCAATAAATAATTTAAAATTTAATGAAAGCGTTTTACTAGAGAAATGTTTAGTAAGTATAAGCACATTTTACTTTACTCGATAAACGAAACAATGAGGGCCGGTTGTTCAATGACCGGTTATTACGACCTCCCAGTTAAACATCGTTATCGACGATTTTGACATCATGCATACAACATGTGATCGATAAAGCAGTGGCTGTATTTAACGGGAGCTTCTACCTCCCATTGATGTTAACCGGTCATTGAACAGACGGCCCTAAATCAGACCTTCTAATAATGATTAATAATCATAATGAAGTTAGATGTTATAGCAGCTATTTCGGAGATCACCACATCTCCTCATCAGACTTCTTTTTTCTAGACTTCAGCAGGGATAACCTGCCAGTATTGATTCGTGAAGTAACTGCACGTTCAATAATAGGTAGACAATTCCCAAAACTACAAGGCTTTTACTAGGAACCATTTAATTCCATTAATTTCGGTATTTATTTAATAGATTTAGAAGACTACGAGGATGAAGTGACATTTTCCTTAACAGATTTAGAGTGTAAAGCTGTCGTGATTCGATTTGATAATAAACTTGTTATAATTCCAATGCTACATTTTTATTAGAAGTTATGAAAATACATTACATACGGGGCACTCTTCGTCAGATTTGACTCCCTATGTGCCCATTTTTGGTTTGAATAAAAAACTCTTGATAGGGCTTAAATTGACCGTTACGCCATATTTGATATGGCATATGGTTAAAGCAGCAGTTATCTGACATAATACGTATGTATATACATATCTCTCTTTTTAAAATACTTATTGACTCTAATTTAATTTAATAAATTCTAGACCAACAGGAAGTTTTGCTGGGGGAAGTCGCAGAGCTCAAGGTTTTGATGCAGCAGTTGCAAACTACACGTACCTATGAAGAGAACCTATCAGAAATGTTTCCCCTTAATTCAATCAACGTAGTGGAACAAATTGATAAGGATATAGAGAAGGATAATCTTAAGTTAAAGTTATTTTATAATCAAAAAGTTAGTATTTAATATCAAACTCTTCACTTATTTCAGGTCAAAACTATGCGTTGGCTCTTGCTTCCTGGTGGTGTATGCAAAAACTTAAAAAATATCATCGCCGACGAGGTCACAATGTTATACAACATTGACGGGGTGCTAGGCAAAGCACCCCTCAAAAGCCTGAAACGCTTTTTTTTTACCTCCCTTTTATTAGCTCGGGATGTAACTATGTAATATTGATGCGCCTAAAAGATGCAGCGATTTCTATTCTAAAGTTTCATACCTGATGACAGTACGAATGGAAATCATAATAGCGAGGTTTTAGTTTTTTAAACTATAATTTTATTTATTAGGGCTTTAATTGGTATGTAGTAATGTACGGTCCGCACAAAATTATTGGAACAGAGAATTTTTCGCAATGTATGCCAAGTTTTTTATTCTAATTTCTTTTCCAAATTTTTGTATAAAAATATAGTTTATACTACAACAAAAAAAAATAAAACAATACCTCTAAATTTTGAGTAAAACTCAAGTAAATTAAACAAATTTGCATATGAATGCGTAACTTTTTAATTACATAGATTTTCTAGAAAGATTTCTTTGTAGATTTGTAGCCCATTAAATTTTAGTATAAAATGGGCAAGTTGATTTTTTTAAGTTTTTTTTTGCGGACAAGTGTCTTCCTTATAAAAAAAAAACTGTCGAACATACTTTCTATGGGAAAAACTGTAAGCCACAAAAATCGTCAAACATCATCGCGATTTTTTGGCAACTTGAAACCTGCATTTTACAAAATCTAATTAGGTTGCACTGGCGTAATAACAAACCCCTTTTCACCAGACAAATCGCTAGTCCACTCGGAGTGGTCCAGCTGCAATCCCATCTTTTTAACGATATCGCTAACTCAGTTGCTCTAGCTAAATAACAAACCTCTTTTCACCAGAAAAATTGCTAGTCTACTCGACGTGGTCCAGCTGCAATCCTATTTAGTTAACCATATCCCTAACTCAGTTTCACTAGGGAATTGACTAACCTCTTCTCACCAGATAAATTGCTAGAACAAGGTAATGCAAAGTCGTACCGCTCGGTACGTTGAAATGACATCCACATGTTAAATTCATTACGAAATGTATGTATGTATGTAAAATACTCACTTTTGCGTCATAAGTTTTTTGAATTAAACAAAAAGTGTTATAAAGCTTACTTGTGTAAAATCAAACGGCGTATAATATATAACCCCAAATCATTTTATGACTTCGTAAACTCCAAGCGAAATGTACGTGGGTTTCCTTCCGCCATGAAGTATCAAAATACCGTCTCTAGCGATAATCAAACAATTTCTAACATGTTCGCTCAGTTTTTTAAATCCAATTATTCCATCAACTCACATGCTAACATTGACTTTCCTTTTAAACTACGTCCAATGAACTCAATAAATATCCCAGTAATATCTCCCGATGATGTAGTAGTTTATCTGAAATCCTTAAAGCAGTCCTTCAGTTATGGTCCTGACCAGATCCCTACTTGTATTCTTATAAATTGTTCTGATTATCTCTATGAGCCGTTAACAGCGTTATTTAATTTATCTCTTAAAGAGGGCGTTTTTCCAACTATATGGAAGGAATCGTTCATAACCCCGTTACATAAAAGCGGTAGCAGATCTTCAGTGGAGAACTACCGGGGAATAGCTAAGCTTTCTGCAATTCCTAAATTATTTGAAGCAATTATAACAAATCAGTTGACGCATTCTATCTCTTCTAGCATTTCATATAGTCAACATGGATTTTGCAAGGGCAAATCAACTTCTACAAATTTACTCGAATTAACATCCTATATCTCAAAAGCATTTAGTGAAAGCAAAACTGTTGATGTTATATATACTGACTTCAGTAAAGCATTTGACAAAGTGTGCCACTCGTTGCTCATCTATAAACTTGATCTTCTTGGTCTTCCACCTAATTTTCTACGTTGGATCTCTTCATACCTCTATGATAGATCACAAAGGGTAATGTTTAAAAATACTATCCCTGACGTCATTGATGTTACTTCAGGAGTCCCTCAAAGTAGCCACCTAGGCCCGGTTCTGTTCTTGCTTTTTATAAACGATATTTCTACAGACATAAAACTTTCCAAAATTTTAATGTATGCAGATGATGTAAAGCTTTATAAATCGTACGTTTCAATTAATGAAAGGTCTTTGCTACAATCAGACTTAAACAGCATGGCTTACTGGTGTCAAGTAAATCGTATGACTCTAAATCTTAAGAAATGTAAAGTAATGTGCTTCTCGCGAAGAGCTGTTCATCCCGCTTCTTATACAATGGGTAACCATAAACTGGAACAGGTATATAATTATGTGGACCTTGGTATCACAATGGATCCTAAGCTTAATTTTAATCTTCATATTACTTGCATTTGTGAAACGATGGAATTTTGTGACCCCTATATCACTAAAACCCTGTTTACAACACTAGTTAGGCAAATTCTGGAATACGGTTCGGTGGTTTGGAATCCAAGGTATCAATTTACTCAGACAAGATATAATCAATTCAAAAACAATTCCTGCTTTTTGCTTTAAGAAATTTCCGTTGGGATTCTCAATATAACCTTCCACCTTATATGAGCCGATTAAAACTTATTAATCTTCCTACACTTTCCAGCCGCAGCCAAATGCTTGGTACAATTTTTATAGTTAAATTACTAACAGGCTCAATTTCAAGTCCGCTTCTTCTTGGCGAAGTTAG